CAAGCGGTGTTGGCAGTGACGAGAGGATTGTCTCTTGATGGCCGAGCGGCCGAGACATTGGCAAAAGTGGTAACGTGTCCAATCAGTCCATTGTAGGCTTCGGCCGAGGTAATGTTGAATGTCACTTGGAAGCCAAGCGGTGTTGGCAGTGACGAGAGGATTGTCTCTTGATGGCCGAGCGGCCGAGACATTGGCAAAAGTGGTAACGTGTCCAATCAGTCCATTGTAGGCTTCGGCCGAGGTAATTGTTGAAGTCACTTCGAAGCCAAGCGGTGTTGGCAGTGACGAGAGGATTGTCTCTTGATGGCCGAGCGGCCGAGACATTGGCAAAAGTGGTAACGTGTCCGATCAGTCCATTGTAGGCTTTTTCAAAGCCGAGGTAATTGTAGGCCTTCCATGAGGCCGAGGTAATGTCCGATATGTCTCTGATGGCCACGCGGCCGAGACAAGAGTGTGTTATGTCTCTCGAGGGCCACGCGGCCGAGACAAGGTCCATTGTAGGCCTTTGGCCGAGGTAGTAGACGAAAATGTCCGTTTGTAGGCTATGCCAAAGCCGAGGTAATTGTAGGCTATGCCAAAGCCGAGGTAATGTCCGATATGTCTCTCGAGGGCCACGCGGCCGAGACAAGAGTGTGTTACGTCTCTCCAAGGCCACGCGGCCGAGACAATGTCTTTTGTAGGCCTTTGGCCGAGGTAGTAAACGAAAATGTCCATTGTAAGCCCTGCGGCTGAGGTATCAAACATGACAACTTATCTACGGAGAATTACTGGACGTCGGAGAGGAAATCCAACTGATCAAGAATCCGGATGTTAACTGATTACTATGTTTTATTGCAGTAACATGTTTTTTTATTTTAGGTTTTGCTTGTTGTGTTTTAGTAGTGATTTGATATGTGTTTAACGCATTGTTCTAGCGAGGAGCGGATTAATTGGGGGTTTGTTCTACTCTGATGGTGTCTCGGACCCAAGCGCACACGCTAACGTGTTCCGATGATATCGCCATTATTGATGTAGAGGGGGATTTGTAGTGATTTTGCAGATGGTAGCTGAAACTCGAACGCAAATGTTCACTGGATGTTTCATGACTACTGCCATCTTTGTAATTTCTTATTTGGGACTTATACGTTCCTTATCCAGTTTCCTTGGGACGAGTCATGCTTTGATCATATATCGATGTCAACTATTTTTGGGTGAATGTTATTAATGATACTGCAAGTAACTAGTGATTACGTGATGTTGGGAGGAGTATTTTATTTCAGGTGGCTGTGGCCAGTAATGAGGGATGTAGAACAGGGGAGATGATTTTTAGACAATTGATGTTACATATTGTGTGGTTGCCGGGACGGCAACAAAAATAATAATCCGACGTGTAGTAGGGTGGAAGCGACGAAGACTACAGTACAACAGATTAAAGGTCTTTGAGAGGTTTATCCCGGTTTAAAAATGCTAACCGGCCTTTTGGGAAACATTGGCAGTTAATAAAGTATACGAAAGATGGGTACTGGCTCGCTGGGTATAAAAGATTGTGTCTAGTCTCGCAGCGATCTATTCGACTTCCGGACCAAACTGTGGAAGCCTGACCCAAGAAGACTGATGCTTTGCACAATGGGCTGGTCTATGGGCATGGCGACCACAGGTAACGTTCGTGGTCGGACTGATGGCAGTCAAGGGTACGTTTAGTGGTTAGTTGGTTAAAATAGATTTTCATTGGTATTCTAGACAAGGAATAGTTAAATGGTAAATTGCTGTATGTTTGAGGTTTTGTTTCAGCACGTGGTCGTTTATGTCGTTACTTTTTTGCCATGCTGATGTGAAGTTCAATAAAATTATGTTCAACGTTGTATTCATAGTTACAGTTGTTTCCTTCAGCTTAGGACTAGTAGTTAGTGTGCTTAGTAGTTTTCTAGTTTAGTTTATTATTACCTGACTTATTAGACTCTACACAGAAGATCTAATGCCTGGACTAGAATATTATTGTTTCTAGCCCCCACCTGAACGAATCTATCTATTTCCTATTTTCTTTCCTCATTTTTTAATATTAGTACTATGGGGCTTTCTGGCCCTGTTACACAACGAATGGCAGAGAAGTATATATATTAATTTTGTGGACTTTGAGAAAGCTTTTGACAGCGTCCATAGAGACGGTCTATGGAAAATTTTACGATATTATGGAATTCCATAAAAAAAATGGTCAACATAATTGCTCGCTTCTATAAAGACTTTTCCTGCAGTATAAAAAATTACATCTTTCCCAGTAAAGACAGGCGTAAGACAGGGATGTGTTATATCATCTCTCCTCTTTAACCTTGTGATTGATTAGATACTAAAGAACACATTAGACAGGACATTAGGAGGCATACAATGGACTCCATTCACCATGCTTGAGGACCTTGATTTTGGAGATGATATAGCACTCCTATAACATAAACATGAATATATACAAGAGAAAAAGTAACAGACTTCACTGCACAGCAGAAATGGTGGGACTGAGAATAAATATAAAGAAAACTAAGATCATGACAAACAGTCCAAACCAACAACCAGTGACCATAAGTAACCAATCACTTGAAAATGTAGAACATTTCACATATCTTGGCAGTGTGGTGTCCCTACTTGGAGGGAAAGAGGGAGACATACAGTCACGTCTGAACAAAGCTAGAGCTGCTTTTGGAAGGATGAGGCAAATCTGGAAATCCAACAATTACTGCAGAGGAACGAAACTCTGACTTTACAAGAGCATCATTTTGCCAGTTCTTCTTTATGGAGCGGAATGCTGGAGAATAACCAAAAAGGATGCACACAAGCTGTCCACCTTCCACCACACATGTCTACTTAGAATTATCAAAATTTTCTGGCCAGATACAATCTCAAACACTAAACTACTTCAAGCCACAAACCAAGAAACTTTAGACAGTATGATTACCAAAAGAAGATGGAAATGGCTTGGCCACGTTATAAGAATGACTTCTGATATACCTGCCAATACAGCTCTCACATGGACACCAGAGGAAAAGAGAAAACAGGGGCGCCCAAAAACAACATGGAGACGAACGATGGAAAGTGACCTGAGTGCGGCATCTTTGACATGGAAAACTGCACTAAAGATTGCACAGGACAGGAAAGCATGGAAAGTCCTCTCTGAAGCCTCATGTGCCACTAGGCATAACGAGAACTGATGATGATGACGTGTAGTTTGCGATTTGTAATCTCATGATAGCGTTGTAGCATTTCTGAGAGGATGAAATCATCGATTCATTGCAGCTTTTCCTTTCCAGATGATTCAAAGTGTCTTCTTGTTTTTGTACATATTTTGTTGTTGTTGCTGCTACTGTTGTTGCTGATGCTTTTGCTGGTGCTGCTGCGCTGGTCAGCATGTTCATAGTGCTCAAAACCATGTCAACTGATAAAGCTGCTGTTGCTTCTGGTCTTAGTGTTGTTATTGTTGCTGTTATTTGTCTTCACCCTCACAATCGCTCTGACACAACACAATAAAAAGACTCAAGAGAAGAGATCAAACCGAACGAAAAGTATATTGGCGAGCTTCACAATATAATAAATACAAACAAAACGTGAAGCCTTCATCAGCACATACAAATCAAACAATACCCCACAAATACACAAAATCACTTAGCTGGTATCTCGAAGCTGCCGGGTCGGTGATTTCTCAGCAGACTGCCGACACGCGTGGGCTTGGGGAATAAATACCCCATGTGGAGAACCAGGGGCCATAACTTAGGGGGTTTGAGATAAAACTGTAAAGGCAGTGCAATCCCCTAGGAGTTTAAATGCGTTGGCAATTCAGTCCGAAGGGAGCTAAAATACCCAAAGTGTAAATAAAGCGATTTTCAAGAGACTTGCGAACTCTTTTGCTGGAGTGGCTAGATTTAATGGCTGTCACCTTCATGTCGAGGACACCTTGGTGATCCTGGGAATTGATGTGCAACGGCGCTGGTTTCAGGGCTCAATTTTGCACGTCCAAAAGATGTTGTCTGAACCTGTCAGCCAGTCATAGACCTGTTTCACCAATGTGTTTCATACCACATCTCTTGCAGTTGATTGCATAAATAGCATTAAAAGACTATGACACTTTAACAAATTGTCAGTATTTGTTCAAGCTGTGTAGCACTAACTGACATTTCTGTCCACAATCTCCTGCCTCCCGTACCGCCAGTCATGTCTGACACTGGCATTCCCCCTGCCAAATTGTCAAACTGTCCATCTTCTGTTTTCTTGGTCTCTCTTCCCTTCCACCTTTCTTGTTTTCATTGGTCTGTGTAAAGTATCGTTTGTTTCTCTGGAAATAATTCACATTTTATTAAACTTATATCTGATTTATCATTTGTTTCTCGGGAAATATTAAACATTTTATTAAACCTAACTCTGATCTATGCTTTGTTTCTCGGGAAATAATTCACATTTTTAATACTGTCTCTGATCTATCATTTGTTTTTTGGGAAATAATTCACATATTTTATTAAAACTGTCTCTGACCTATCATTTTTTTCTCCGGAAATTATTCACATTGTATTAAATCTATCTCTGATTTATCATTTGTTCTAGGGAAATCATTCACATTTTATTAAACCTTTCTCTGATTTATCATTTGTTTCTCGGGAAATAATTCACATTTTTTCATACTGTTTCTAATCTATCATTTCTTTCTCCGTGGGAAAAAAATCACATTTATTATTAAAACTGTCTGTGATCTATCATTTCTTTCTCCAGAAATAATTCACATTTTATTAATCCTATCTCTGATTTCTTATTTGTTTCTCGGGAAATATTTCACATTTTTTCATACTGTCTCTGGTCTATCATTTCTTTCTCCGGAAATAATTCACATTTTATAAAACCTATGTCTAATTTATTATTTGCTTCTCGTGAAATTATTCACTTTTTATTAAAACCTACCTGTAATTTATCAATTTGTTCCTTGGAAAATAATTCACATTTTAAGAAAACCTATCTGTAATTTATCAATTTGTTTCTCGGGATATAATTCACATTTTATTAAAACTGTCTCTGATCCCAGTCCAGGTGGCAATTGCCTGTGGAGGAAAAACATTTTTATTATGTGTTACATACTGGCAGATGCTTGCTCAGTGTTGGAAGCAATACAAAATGTACGCAAACTACGATTCCAAAAGCTTACATATATGCTAAATCAAATGAGTCAGTCAATCAAGCAGATGGTACTCCGGTTGATCCCAGGCCACTGCACCTTTAGGGGAAATCAAAGAGCCGAAGATTTGGTAGGGGCTGGAAGTCGTACAGACTAGCCAGATACGTGATGAACTGATGAGGATAATAAAGCTGAAATCAAGGCATTTATTATAACCCACTAGAACACTTCTCTGCCAGGACAAAATCGTTTCCTAAAGCGAAGGAAGCATAAATATATTTCTACTGAGTACTGGACTATTTTCATGTTTTGTGGATTATTCAAAGGTTTTTGACTGTGTATGACATCATAAACTGTGGGCACTTATGAGGAATATGGGTTTTCCATCGCATGTAGTACACCTCATAACATTACTCTATCTAGACCAAAAAGCAGCGGTTAGAATAGATCGCAAGACATCAGACTGGTTTGACTTCAGGCAAGCAGTTCACCAGGGCTGTGTGCTGTCGCCCTATTTGTTTAACCTGTTCACCGAAAATATGAGAAATGTCAGAGATGATATAACCAGTATGACTGTACCAAATATTCGCTTCGATGTGGCGAATGATCTCTAGATCGGTGTATTGGACGCGGGACATCTTGTTTGCAATCGAGAGATTTTCCGGAGGGTTTAATGGGAGCATGTTTCTGCAAAAAACAGGTTACTGATTGACTGACCGACTGACTTTTTCTTTTTCTTTCGTTCGCTTGAAATAAATTATCTACAACTGCAATGCTCTCTCTAGTATGAACTTCACTGTCTTTTGTAATTCACCCGGCGACCCGTAAAGTTTGACGTTGCACCGATGTTTCTCTTGGCCAAACGTTTTGCCTTGATATGTTGTATTTGAGAGGACATGATCTGTTGTCTCAGATGCCAATCCACATGTGTACATGGCTGATTCGCCGATTTTAAATTGTGCGTACATATGGCTGCGAAGTCGATTGTGTCGAGTTCTAAGGCGTAGAATAATAACTTGCTCTGGTCTGTCCATAAAATGGAATTATCATGTGCCGGTTTTTGATGGCTTTCTGGTTTGATTATTCTCTTTTTTTTTATTGATAAGAGACAGGTACGCCAGGTTGTTCTTCATTTGCACTTTCGTTAGCTAATTTATCAGCTCTTTCATTTCCAGGAACTCCACAGTGGGATGGTATCCATTGCATAGTTACCTTACACCGGCTGCCTAGTTTGGTGAGTAGTGTTAGTATACTTGGTAGTTTTCCAGATTGGAGTGCCTTAAGCACTGACTGACTGACTGAGTACTGGAGTTTTGGAAACAGCAGACTCTGCAGCCATGTGTACAAGATGTTCAATGTTGGGGATTTGTAATTTTAAACACAAATTTAGACAGGAACAGGCAACATAATATATCACACATTACTGCAGACATGGTCTCTACATGCAGTAGAGAGATCCAAAGTTTCCAGGTTGGAAACCATACTGTATGGATTAGTGGAAGACCTTCATCGCACCACAGCCTTCATAGAGGTTTGTGGCTTCATCTGAAAACTACTGACAGGAGAACGAATTGAAGAAGAAAAGGAAATGTTATATAAACTAATGAAACACACGACCAATCTTAGTCTGTCCTGGTGGAGTGGACATAGTAACAAGAGAGTGTACGATTGTGTACTTCAGTTTAATAGATTTATGTTTCGTACTTGAAAGATAGACTGGCACCATTATGGTTCTGCACCATTAGGCGGTGCTTTGATGCAAGACACGCTAGATGTAACAAAGGTCAATAGAGAACCAATTATCTGTTCGGAAACTCAAATAGACCATTACGGTTTACGGATGATGGCACAATTTCGTGTTTACCGCCTTTTATACTCCGAGGTAAAGTCTTGGTTGTTCGTCCAATTCTGGTTTTTGGTCGTCTTGTTCTAGAACTTGAGTTTTGCCTACACATCCGTTTTACTGATCTTACTAATTTGTGTTTTAACAGCTGAGAAATGTGCCTACACATCCGTTTTACTGATCTTACTAATTTGTGTTTTAACAGCTGAGAAATGTGCCTACACATCCGTTTTACTGATCTTACTAATTTGTGTTTTAACAGCTGAGAAATGTGCCTACACATCCGTTTTACTGATCTTACTAATTTGTGTTTTAACAGCTGAGAAATGTGCCTACACATCCGTTTTACTGATCTTACTAATTTGTGTTTAAACAGCTGAGAAATGTGCCTACACATCCGTTTTACTGATCTTACTAATTTGTGTTTTAACAGCTGAGAAATGTGCCTACACATCTGTTTTACTGATCTTACTAATTTGTGTTTTACCAGCTGAGAAATGTGCCTACACATCCGTTTTACTGATCTTACTAATTTGTGTTTTAACAGCTGAGAAATGTGCCTACACATCCGTTTTACTGATCTTACTAATTTGTGTTTTAACAGCTGAGAAATGTTCCTACACATCCGTTTTACTGATCTTACTAATTTGTGTTTTAACAGCTGAGAAATGTGCCTACACATCCGTTTTACTGATCTTACTAATTTGTGTATTAACAGCTGAGAAATGTGCATACACATCCGTTTTACTGATCTTACTAATTTGTGTATTAACAGCTGAGAAATGTGCATACACATCCGTTTTACTGATCTTACTAATTTGTGTATTAACAGCTGAGAAATGTTGCCAACTTAACCATCCGAGACAAAGTAAAAAATTATATTATCAGACAGAATGTAGGAGCAACACCATGCAGCAAATTCATTGAGAAACAGAAGATCGAATGGTTTGGTCATTCAGTAAGAATGCAGCCAGAACAACTACTGACGCAGGCGCTACACACGACAATATTTGAAAATAAAGCAAGAAGCTGCCTTAGGACAAATAGATTGATGACATTTAATAGTTTCTACATCAACATAAAATGACAAAGGTTATTGCTGTCCATCAAGCAATGGATGGGAAACTTTTTCTCCCATCAACGCTTAACGACAGAAGTGAATAATAATGATGATGATAATAACTATGCAGACCGTCGGTTCCTCACCCCACAGACAGACGCGCTCCGACGTAAAAGAAACACCCTTAATTAACTGCCATTTAAGACATGCTTCTTAGGAAGCGGTGAATCTATTCACCCCGCTCCCACAAAATGAGACCATGAACCCACGTGGGTCGATGGGCCTAGGGGCCCTCAAATAGGAAAGACTGTAAGGTACATACAGGTCTGACAGACACAATCACTGACCTGCCTACAATGGCTGACCTGTAACCGAGCAAGGTTCAGGAGGACGTGGTTTAGATCCCGGACTTTCTGCGCCTGAAACCTCTCGACGTCTTTGAGAGCTTCTTCCGAGAACAGTCTGCAAATTAACAGTAACCCGTTTATAAATTGACAGCGAACCGTTTTTAAACTGACCATTTTGTTAAATGACAGTGAACAGTTTGTAAACTGACCATTCTGTAAAAAAGTGAACAGTTTGTAAACTTACCATTTTGTTAAATGACAGTGAACAGTTTGTAAACTGACCATTTTGTTAAATGACAGTGAACAGTTTGTAAACTGACCATTCTGTAAAAAAGTGAACAGTTTGTAAACTGACCATTCTGTAAACAAGTGAACAGTTTGTAAACAAACCATTCTGTAAAAAAAAAAAAGTGAACAGTTTGTAAACTGACCATTTTAAAATGTGACAGTGAACAGTTTGCAAACTGACCATTTTGTTAAATAACAGTGAACAGTTTGTAAACTGACCATTTTGTTAAATGACAGTGAACAGTTTGTAAACTGACCATTCTGTAAAAAAGTGAACAGTTTGTAAACCGACTATTCTAAAATGTGACAGTGAATCGTTTGTAAACTGACCTTTCCATAAAGTGATAGTGAACCGTTGGTAAACTGACCTTTCCATAAAGTGATAATGAACCATTGGTAAACTGACCATTCCATAAAGTGATAATGAACCTTGCGTAACTGACCATTATCTAAAATGATAGTGAATTGTTTGTAAACTGACCATTCTGTAAGCTGACAGTAAAAGTTTAAATTCACAGTGAATAATTTGTAAATTAAGAATAAATAGTTTGTATAGTTGATAAATGAATAATGTATAAACTTACAGTGATAGTGCATCAACTGACAGAGACAAATTTGTAATCTGATAAATGAACAACGTTTACAAATAAGGGGAAAAAATCATAAATTGACAGTTCTCCTTCTTCTGCATTAAAAGATTGATTTTCAAGTTTTCTTGTGGACAGCTAGGCTGCGATATCTGAGCCTTTCGACTCAATGCCTTCGACTTTAGCTAACCCCTGATTAGGCAGTTTACTGCTTGTATGTTTGAGGGTAGTATGTCTATCCCCCTTCCGCACCCACCCCCTTTCCCCATTAGCCCATCTTAACTGGGACCCCTGGACCCACAGGGGAACACTTATGTGAACATAATGTATGTAAACTGGCACCGAACAAACTATAAACCGATCACGTTGTTCTCGGCTCCTTTTCTTGTTTCCAGACGATGGTGTTATTTTGTGCTAGGAGGAGGCATGGGACTCACAGCCCATGGCGATGGCGAGTGTGAATGTGCCAGGCATTTTGTTCCCGCGTATCTATCTCAATACATGTATCATTCATATCCCATTTGCGTACATCTTTAGATCACAGTAGAGGGCGGCCTTGACATCTTCTACCCATCTGTAAATCCTCATAGAATATGTCCTTGTGAGCAATCAGGAACCTGAAATTGACCAATCAGTGACCTGGCAGTGATCAATCAGTGACCTGGCAGTGATCAATCAGTGACCTGGCAGTGATCAATCAGTGACCTGGCAGTGATCAATCAGTGACCCGGCAGTGATCAATCAGTGACCTGGCAGTGATCAATCAGTGACCTGGCAGTGATCAATCAGTGACCTGGCAGTGATCAATCAGTGACCTGGCAGTGATCAATCAGTGACCTGGCAGTGATCAATCAGTGACCTGGCAGTGATCAATCAGTGACCTGGCAGTGATCAATCAGTGACCTGGCAGTGATCAATCAGTGACCTGGCAGTGATCAATCAGTGACCTGGCAGTGACCAATCAGTGACCCGGCAGTGATCAATCAGTGACCTGGCAGTGATCAATCAGTGACCTGACAGTGATCAATCAGTGACCTGGCAGTGATCAATCAGTGACCTGGCAGTGATCAATCAGTGACCTGGCAGTGATCAATCAGTGACCTGACAGTGATCAATCAGTGACCTGACAGTGATCAATCAGTGACCTGGCAGTGATCAATCAGTGACCTGGCAGTGATCAATCAGTGACCTGGCAGTGATCAATCAGTGACCTGACAGTTAGCAAGCAGTGACCTGGCAGTGATCAATCAGTGACCTGGCAGTGATCAATCAGTGACCTGACAGTTAGCAAGCAGTGACCTGACAGTGATCAATCAGTGACCTGGCAGTGATCAATCAGTGACCTGGCAGTGATCAATCAGTGACCTGGCAGTGATCAATCAGTGACCTGGCAGTGATCAATCAGTGACCTGGCAGTGATCAATCAGTGACCTGGCAGTGATTAATCAGTGACCTGACAGTGACCAATCAGTGACCTGGCAGTGACCAATCAGTGACCTGACAGTGACCAATCAGTGACCTGACAGTGACCAATCAGTGACCTGACAGTGATCAATCAGTGACCTGGCAGTGATTAATCAGTGACCTGACAGTGAGCAAGCAGTGACCTGACAGTGAGCAATCATTAACCTGACAGTAAGCAATCAGTAAAGTGACAATGAGCAATCAGTGACCTGACAGTGAGCAATCAATAACCTGAGAGTGAACAATCAATGACCTGAAAGTGAGCAATCAGTAATCTGACAGTGAGCAATCAGTAATGTGACAGTGAGCAATCAGTAATCTGACAGTGAGCAATAAGTGACCTGACAGTGAGCAATCAGTAATCTGACAGTGAGCAATCAGTAATCTGACAGTGAGCAATCAGTAATCTGACAGTGAGCAATCAGTAATCTGACAGTGAGCAATCAGTAATCTGACAGTGAGCAATCAGTAATCTGACAGTGAGCAATCAGTAAACTGACAGTGAGCAATAAGTGACCTGACAGTGAGCAATAAGTGACCTGACAGTGAGCAATCAGTAAACTGACAGTGAGCAATAAGTGACCTGACAGTGAGCAATCAGTAAACTGACAGTGAGCAATAAGTGACCTGACAGTGAGCAATCAGTAAACTGACAGTGAGCAGTAAGTGACCTGACAGTGAGCAATCAGTAATGTGACAGTGAGCAATCAGTAATGTGACAGTGAGCAATCAGTAATCTGACAGTAAGCAATCAGTAACCTGACAGTTAAGTTCGTAAACTGACAATTAACAGTTTGTAAATTCATGCGTTCAGGTGAAATAGACATATATAATGTGCACCTATGTAAAGACCAATTAACACTCGTTATGTGATGTGATCAACATCATGCCGACCGCCTTTACTTCCCAGTACTCTACCTAGTACCTTTTAAGACTAGGTGGACCTAGAAGCAAATGTCATCTTTAAAAACAGTTAGGCTTTGTCAGGTTTTAAACAACGGACCTACTGATCTGCAGGCGAGCATGTAGAAATTTCACCACTGCAGCTCCGAAGAGTTTATAGATTCACAAATAAACACTGTGTAAACCAACTGTAACTAGTCAGTAGTTTGGCAAATAAACACTGGGTAATCCTACTGTAACTAGTCAGTAGTTTTACACACACAGGGTAATCTAACTGAAACTAGTCAGTAGTTTAGCAAATAAACACTGCGCAATCCTACTGTAACTAGTCAGTAGTTTTACAAACACTGGATAATCCAACTGTAACTAGTCAGTAGTTTAGCAAATAAACTCTGCGCATTCCAGCTGTAACTAGTCAGTAGTTTAGCAAATAAACACTGTGTAATCCAACTGTAACTAGTCCGTATTTTTATAAACACTGTGTAATCCAACTGTAACTAGTCAGTAGTTTGACAAATAAACACTGGGTAATCCTACTGTACCTATTCAGTAGTTTGACCACACACAAAAAAAAACCACTGGGTAATCCGACAGTAACTATTACTGGGTAATCCGACTGTAACTATTCAGTAGATTGATAAACACTACATAATCAGACTGTAATTAGTCAGTAGTTTAACAAAAACTGCGTAATCCAACTGTAACTAGTCAGTAGTTTAGCAAATAAACACTGCGTTATAATACTGTAACTAGTCAATAGTTCGACAAACACTGCTTAATTTGACTATAACTAGTCAGTAGTTTGACAAATAAACACTGGGTGATCCGACTGTAACTATTCAGTAGTGTGACTGTGAACGGTTTGTAAACGTTTTATACAGTAATAAGTTAGGCAAAATTAGCAAATATGATAGCTGCTTATTGCTGAAGAACTTCACACAATTGATGGGCGGGGGTGGTGGTAACTGTCCTTGTCTCCCAAACGTAAAATGAATATTAGGAAATCTCAGGAAAAGTAAAGTCTGCAGAAACTGATACACGAAGAGAACGGATTGCCCACATCAGAAGTAGACAATCTATATTCTTTGTTCATGTCATGAGAAGGAAACAGCTGGAGTACATCGTGACGGTGGGAACGTTGGAGGAGAAAAGTAACAGGGAGAAACAGATAGAGAAGATGCTGTGCAATTGGACATCATGACATGAAAGGTCATCTGTATCAGTAATGATATTAAGTACACGAGACAGAAGGTTGTGGATTGATATGAATACCTACGCAACACAGCATGGACTATGGTAGACCATCTGTGTCAGAACTGATTGAAAATAACACGAGAAATGATGTTGCAGATACGACATGATAACCAACACCACACTGCATGGACTACGGAAGACCATCTGTGTCAGAACTGATTGAAAATAACACGAGATAGGATGTTGCAGATACGACATGATAACCAACACCACACAGCATGGACTACGGAAGACCATCTGTGTCAGAACTGATTGAAAATAACACAAGATAGGTTGTAGATACGACATGATAACCAACACCACACGGCATGGATAAAAAGAAAAAGAAACTTACATGCATTGTTTCTGAAGTTGGCTCAGCTCTGTCTCTACTTGCAGAATCTGTTCCCCCAACTGTTTCAGCTTGGCTTCCTTCAGTTCTGGTGTGTCGCTCCCAAACAATTTAGACTTCATTCCGCTCAAAGAGAAGCCACTTGTTGTCGTGCCACTCTCCTATAGGGAAATTTTGGAATGTCATAACGTTAGCAAAATGATTGTGACACATGCCAATCACTGAGTTACAAGTGCGGCCATGATTATAAACTTATTCTTGGAAATATTATGTGTTGGTTTTCCCTTGTCTTCCAGTTTACAAAAGTGGTTGGTGTTCTACATTTTGGCGGGAATATATCTTGCCACAAGGTATGAGCACTTTGCTATGTGGTGGACACTCGGTCGTCCTATAAGCTCTCGCGATCGCTCTCTCTCTCTCTCTCTCTCTCTCTCTCTCTCTCTCTCTCTCTCTTACTCACTCACTCACTCACTCATCCACTCACTCACCCGCTCTCTCTGTCTTTGTCACTCTCTTTTCTCTCACCGTCTCCCTCTCTCATTCTCTATTTTATTTCTCTCTCTCGCGATCGCTCTCTTTCTATTTAACTCTTCTCTCTCACCTTTCCCATAAACTATGTTTCTCTATTATTCTTTCTCTTTGTCGACATTCTCTCTTTGTCTGTTTCTATCTTTTCTCGCACTATTTCATTTTCTCTCATTCCCTGTCGATTGTGTCCTTCTCTCTTTATCTGTCGCTCTTTATATCTCTTCCCTACACGTTCGTCCTCTATCTAACTATCTATCTATCTATCTATCTATCTATCTATCTATCTATCTATCTATCTATCTATCTATCTATCTATCTATCTATCTATCTATCTATCTATCTATCTATCTATCTATCTATCTATCTATCTATCTATATATCTATCTATCTATCTATCTGTCTGTCTGTCTGTCTGTCTGTCTGTCTGTCTGTCTGTCTGTCTGTCTGTCTGTCTGGCTGGCTGGCTGGCTGGCTGGCTGCCAGCCTGCCTGCCAGCCAGCCAGCCAGCCAGCCTGCCTGTCTGTCTGTCTGTCTGTCTGTCTGTCTGTCTGTCTGTCTGTCTGTCTGTCTGTCTGTCTGTCTGTCTGTCTGTCTGTCTGTCTGTCTGTCTGTCTGTCTGTCTGTCTGTCTGCTACATACAGAATTTATGTTGACTTACCATCGATTGTTTTAGAAAATGTTTGCTGGCCAAACTTTCTTCTGCTCTTTCCACATCGTATTGGGCGCACTCGCAACGCCTACACACCGACCTGCAGAAATATTGAACAGTTTAATGTCTTTTCCATTCAATATATTCTGTTCAAAAACTACAACAAAAACAAAAAAATGATCGCGTGCTTCTTTTTCTAGCTAACGGGAAAACCTGTGCGCCTAAAAACAGTCGAGGACCCCAAATTGATACAAGAAGTGAATGAATTAATGAAGCCCCACGGTGTTCTTATGTGCAGTTTGAATAGTTTCTCCCATTATATAATAAAGATTTTGAATTTCAATGTTTGAAAAATTGTATATATATATATATATATATATATATATATATATATATATATATATATATATATATATATATATATATATATATATATATATATATATATATATATATATATACAGTATGTATGTGTTTTTCTTTTTTTTTTTTTTTTTTTTCAGTAGTATATCTGGTAAATTTTGCAAGTTCCCTCACATGACGTGGAAACAACAAAAACCAGCATCTGTTGGTGTCTGATTTTACTAGGCACTTCTACGTTCAGTAGTTTCCTATTGCAAATCAACGGTCAGTCCTGAACGTCAATGTCGAAAACAACACAAGGTGGTCTGTTGTTAAATCGGCTGCAGTCGCGATGGAACCCGGCACCTCAGGATTAGAAGCGCGTTTGCGACGTCTAGGCCACCCAGACCGATTTTGTTGTATTTTAATCAATCTGCACTCGGCAGATTCTTCTTCTTCTTTCTCTTCTGCACAAGACAGAATAATTCTTACAGTTATTTTTCTCTACTCTGTTTTGCCTATCTCTATGGAGAAGATATACTTGTGTTGCTGATATCAAGGCATGTATGTCTTCGTCCCTTTCCTCCTCCCCTCTTCTTCTTGTTCTTTTTCTTCATCATCATCTTCTTCCTCTTCTTCTACTACTACTACTACTACTACTACTACTACTACTACTACTACTACTACTACTACTACTACTACTACTACTACTACTACTACTACTACTACTACTACTACTACTGATATACTACTACTACTACTATTTCTACTACTATTACTACTATTACTACTACTAATGCTGCTACTACTATTACTACCACTACTACAACAACAACTACTACTACTACTACTACTACTATTACTACTACCACTACTACTACTACTACTACTACTACTACTACTACTACTACTACTACTACTACTACTACCACTACTACTACTACTACTACTACTACTACTACTACTACTACTACTACTACTACTACTACTACTACTACTCCTACTACTACTACTAATATACTACTACTACTACTACCACTACTACTACTACTACTACTACTACTACTACCACCACTACTACTACTACTACTACTACTACTACTATTACTACTACCACTACTACTACTACTACTACTACTACTACTACTACTGTTGCTACAACCAGCACTACTAATTCTACATCTACTGCTACTGTTGTGGCTGCTAATATTACTACTAATTCTTCTTCTTCTTCTTCTTCCTCTTCTTTTCTTCTTCTTCTTCTTCTTCTTCTTCTTCTTCTTCTTCTTCTTCTTCTTCTTCTTCTTCTTCTTCTTCTTCTTCTTCTTTTACTTCTTTTTCTTTGTCTTCTTCTTCTTCGTCTTCTTTTTCTTCTTTTTCTTTATCTTCTGTTTCTTTTTCTGCTTCTTCTTCTTCTTCTTCTTCTTCTTCTTCTTCTTCTTCTTCTTCTTCTTCTTCTTCTTCTTCTTCTTCTTCTTCTTCTTCTTCTTCTTCTTCTTCTTCTTCTTCTTCTTCTTCTTCTTCTTCTTCTTCTTCTACTACTTCTTCATCTTTTTCTTCTTCTACTACTTCTTCTTCTACTACTTCTTCATCTTCTTCTACTACTTCTTTATCTTCTTCTTCTTTTACTACTTCTTCATCTTCTTCTTCTTCTACTACTTCTTCATCTTCTACTACTTCTTCATCTTCTTCATCTTCTACTACTTCTTCATCTTCTACTACTTCTTTATCTTCTTCTTCTTCTACTACTTCTTCATCTTCTACTACTTCTTCATCTTCTTCTTCTTCTACTACTTCTTCATCTTCTTCTTCTTCTACTACTTCTTCATCTTCTTCTTCTTCTTCCTCCTCCGAACTGGCCCTGACAAGGGCAGCTGACACATCCTTTTGAGCTTTACAGCTATGCCGCGATATCCGCCCGCTTTTGACGTAATCGTACATCAGATTTATTGTTTTAAGTTGCCAAAAATCTTATGGCTTCAGGTCGCCTGGCATTACATCAGCTCACATTCTACGATAATTTTAAAAATAAAATCCTTATGAACAAACCTGAGAGATTCCGCAAAAGCGTTGTACTCCTTCAGATCGTCTGCAAAGTGTTCGGTCTCTTCCAAATGTGTATCGATACATGATGAATAACTAGAGAAACAAATGCCAGTTTGATTTAATCGTAAACTTAACCGCTAAAGTGCAGGAGGAGAAGATTAAAGCCTGTGAGTCATGACCCAGGTCGGCCCACCCTCTAAAGTTGTCCAGAGGTTAATGGGCAGAAAGAATCGTCGATGAGGGATCTTCTACTGATGATCGGTGGACTCCTGCTGTACATGCTTCTCTGTGGAGTTCTTCTTATTATTATATTCATTTTGCGTTTGGTATTGGAATTTCAAAATTTAAAATGGGAATGGCATTTAATTACTGAAAGGAAGCGGGTAAAGTAACGTAAAGAGAAAGTAAGTAAATAACTTTCATGCAAAAAAAAGTTCAAGGTTAAAGTAGTTAGAGTCATTGCACCATGTTTTATCCCATATGGTTCGGTCTCTTTCCACAGAACGACTAGCCGCCTGTCGAGAGCGTCACACAGACAACGAATACCGTAGCTCAGGCGATGATTCTCAGGGGTCCTCGTAAAAAACTGCTGCACTCGTGAAACAAAACGAGCAGCTGTGAAACGAATCAACAGAAGCAAGTAAACGACAGTCCACTCGCAAACAAGCCAGATCTCTAAAACGGGTGTTGACACAAGACTAAAGTTCTGCACCAAGACCAAAGTCCAGAAACTGACGAGCAACCAAAACTTTTCACCGGAGTTTCGAAACTGTGAACGCGAAGAAGAAGATAAAGACATTTAGTACTAAAGTAAATGTTTTACATGCACATCCAGATCTGGCCTATTTGTATGCAAACTGTTGGTTTCTCGCTTCCCAGGCAGATGCACATCGACTTTGAAGGAATATACTGAATATAAAAGTTACGTTTGATCTGGTGTTGAACATAAAAATTGCCTATAGTTTGAAACTTACTATTAAAATCAAATATAATTTAGTACTGAATATAAAGCGTACATACAGTTTAATGTTGAATATCAAAACTACATATTCACTGTCTTCAAAACGTACGTATAGTTTATTACTGCACACACACTTACACATCCATGTAATGGCTGGCATTCTGTAAGTGTTCAGCACTGTCCTTCTCTGTCTCACCCCACTGGTTAAACACCCGAGCATAGTTTCCGTGCACCTTGTGGACACCGTACAGTTTCTCACACATGCGCTGTAAGATATAAATGGTGTCCTAAAAGTTTACACACATAGGGAAAAAACAAACATATTAGTCTCCGCCCAGGTTGGGCAGAATGCTTAGTTTCTAAGTTAATTTTGCCCCTGACAGCGCTTTCCTAATGCAGTTTCTATATATGGATGGAACTCTACAGTTTCTCTGCCTAAGCTATTGAAATGAGTACTTCGTGCAGCACTGTGAGCTATATTTTTTTTCATGTGGAATGCCTTTTGTGTGTGTGTGTGTGTGCAGCGGTTGTGTCTTGGTATTCAGTGTGCCGGGTAGCGAATGACGTATAGGCTGCCGGTGTACTTATGTAATAATTTTGCGTGTTTATGGCCAACTTATCGTGACTGACCACCTCTATAAACGACAGACTGCACTTTTGCTGACGACTGTAGACTCTGGCCTTCTAGCAACTGCTTTGTGCATTTATTGCCAGTAGCTGTCTGATTTTATGTCCTTCTTGCCTTTCTTCTAAGTGTTGGCCAGATCGCTGGTCATTTCCCGCTGCATCGTTCTCTTAGGACCGTTATTGTAGTCTATGTGTGCCTCCACACTTTCACTAGCCCTCAAAAAGATATAGGTAACATCTAACTTATTGCGATGTTGCTTTCTTTATGCTCTAGTAAGACACCTAGAAGTTAAGGGTTTCTTCTCATTCAGATGGTAAAAACACACTATGACGTTACACCAATTGACAGTTTCTGCTCTTTATTATAGTTCCGACAATAACATCTTCTAGTCGCTGTCGTCTGTTCTCACTCGCCGTACTAGGATCAGTCGTCAGTGATTACATTACACGCTCACTGTCTTCAGACTGTTACTACCTTGAATCACAGCGGTTCCATTCATGCGAAGGTCTTGCATCTCCAACACAGCGCCACAATAATTAATTTAACAAAACTCACAGCTCTGATTTTCAAGATGTTTTCAATGCTGCTTTGCAATTCAGTGGAATAGATCTTGGGATCTTCGATTCTTCACAGTCGTTCCTCATGAATCAGGAACTTCTTCACGTAGTCGTTAGTTATACCTCATAGCAAGCATACCTCTCGCAGAATCGGACCATTCACTCTGGGTGTCAGACACTCTATCTCGATTTCCTCTCTCACCTTAAAACCGTGGTCCCATGGGACCCTGGTCCGATTTCAACAGTTCAATTAAACACGGAATTTCACTGGTTCTACCCACTTAAACCCTTTGGGAAATCCCTTTATAACACTTAATTTGCACCCATTTAAACATGGAACTATTTGCGGGGAATAGTAAATGATATGAAAGGTTGGTGTTAATTGGCTGATGACCTATGCACTACTTTTGATAATGCCAGACTGAAAAGAGGTGATAAAGTTCAACTTACGGTTTAAAAAAAATTAATTTAACAAAACTCACAGCTCTGATTTTCAAGATGTTTTCAATGCTGCTTTGCAATTCAGTGGAATAGATCTTGAGATCTTCGAATCTTCTGAAAGGTGAAACCGAACATCTGTTATTTGGTGATTTTTTTATTTTTTTTTATCTTCACACTTCTATCTGTGGGTTGCTGTGTGTTTAAACTTTGTTGCTTTTCCTTTACAGGACGCTGCAGAACCACATGAGAACTGTCGGCTATCGATCGCTGCGCGATCAAACCCAGCACTGTAACAGGAAGACGTCATCACTTGTTTGTCAGGAGATAGGATACTGCGTGTTAGTTAAAGGGACCGAAGTCAACAGGTCTTTGTAATCTTTACATTCTTTTCTAGAACCATGAAGGGCAGAGAGGTATTTGCGAATGAATAACCTAGTTATACAAATAGCATCTGATGCCAAAGTTGACGTGCCTTTTCAAAGCCTTATCGTACTGCCTTTCTAGAAGGTCATAGAAGGATACCTGTCAATCCAATTAGTATATTTTGAGGTAAACTATCTGATGCAGTCCAAATGCCGTTAGAAAATTCCACGTGAGAACGCACATACTAAATATGTTGAGCCGTACTAGAACATTTTAGAAGCAGTTAGTGAGTACAAAACACATACCACGCATCCCAGCACATCATTATAAATAGTGGGTAAGAAACAACTAAGCCTACCAGACTTAGAAGAGGAGGGACCAGTCATATGGACCCTCACAGACGAGAACCTTTAGCCGTTGAGATTCAGAGGACGAGGGACTAGTCTCATAGACCCTCGCAGTTGTCGAGATGCCAGCTAAACACTAGAAGAAGAGAAGCCTGTCACGTGGAGCCTCGGAGACAGACGCTAGAGAGGCGACATGAAACATGACATCGAGCTGCACAGACAGCAGACAAGATATATGGATCTATGGTTAACAGAGACACATTTGGTAGCAACATTACTAAGATGCTAGAGTCGACGATCAAACCGTTAGTACCAGACAGCACTACAAGCCAGGCGGCAGGTACAGACACTAGAACCATTTAACAAAGTAACTAGAAGAACACAACGCGACCTAAAGAGTATGTAACTATAGAGTTAAAACAGTGGTGATTCAGAATATTATTGATGTTATTTGTGACATTATTGACGTATCAAAATAAAGGAAGTACATAAAAGAAAGGGGAAACTACTAAATTACTTTCTCAGGAAACTTATCATGGAAGCCAAAAATTAAACTCGAAGATCTGAGAGGCCCCGGACTAGACAGATCACAAACACGAACTGGGGAAGAGAACGATGGCCGAGCAAGTAAGGGTAGTTATGATGACGGCTACATCAGAAACTAAGGACTATTATAAGAACTAAGGGGTTTACAGCACAGTTGGTGCATTTAATTGAAAATCTTTATCATGAACAATAAGGAGCCATCAGAGCAGCTGGTGAAATATTTGATTGGTTCGAGGTGCAAAAGGGAGTAAGGCAGGGGTGCATTCTCTCACCATACCTATTCAATATATACGCAGAAAATATAATTAGATATGTCAAAAATGACTAGACTTGTGACAGTTATGATCTGCTCTAAATTGGGGGCAACCCTATCGCAGAACTTCGCTACGCAGATGACACAGCCCTCCTTTCGAACAGCGTAAAGGTAATAGAAAATTAAATATTGAGAGTCCAAAAGCACAGTGAAGATCAACATCTGTTCTGGAATTTAAAGAAAAAGAAAATAATGTCCACAGATGAAACTATCACCCAAACAAAACAAAACGAAACAAAATAAATGATTAGGAAATTTAAAAAGTCACAAACTTTGAATATCTAGGCTCTATAATAAATAGAAATGGAGACTATTTGACGGAAATCAAAAGGAGGATGGCCATAGCAATGCAAAGATTAAACAGAATTAAAAGTCTATGGTTAGGCACCAGCAAGAAGACGAAAATTAGAATTTTGAGAGCTTGCATCTTTCCTGTAGCAAAATACGGATGTGAGTCGTGGACTATCTCTCAGTCCTTAAGAAAGAGAATAGAGGTTTTTGAGCTGAAATGCTATAGAAAGATTCTCAAAATACCTTGGACAAAGAATAGGAGAAATACTGACATCTTGAAAGATCTGAACATTAAGCAAGATTGGCTGATAAACAACATTCTGTCTCATATCAAGCGTAACCACGGATTAGAAAGAAAAGAATAGCAGACGGCATGTTGCCAAGAAGAAGGTGCAGGGCGCCAACCAACACGAAGATGGGCACAGGATATAAGTGACTTCTTGAGTATGAAAGTACATGAGGCGGGAGAACTGGCGAGAGACCGAGTTTCTGTCAGGCAGACCGTGAGGAGAGCGACGTTCTCCAAAGGACCTTCTACATGATGATTATGATGACAGAAAAAAACAGTGTGTTTCCAGACATTTTATTATTCAAGCATCAGGGACGTGAGAAGCGTGCAGCTAGCATGAGATATTATTAACATTACCACTATCGACACGACCATCTTTCACCTCGTCTGTTATCTTCCAATTGACTCCTACTCTAGCAAACTAAAGAGGAACCTGGGTGTGACATCAACACATGTGCTACGCCACTTCGGAATGACTAAGCGGGTTCGCTACAAGATGAAAGAGGGGCACTCCTGTGTTGAAGAGGTTGTAAAACAAAACAATTATTAACTTATTAGGTGTCTTGATTTTGCAGCTTCATACTTCTTGCAAGTAGTGTCATCATCGTCATCCTCAATTTCCAATTCTGTCGTTAAGGGGATGAATAGTTTACGGTCCATTGCTTGATGGGAACCGTTGGCTATTGTCATTCCGGGTTGATGTAGACGCTCTTTAGTGTCATCATCTTCTAGGGCGGCCTCTTATTTTCACTTCAAATCTTTTCATGTGTAGCGCCTGCGTTGGATGTTGTTCTGGCTGTGTTCTTACTAAATAACTAAACCATTTCATCTTCTGTCTCTCAGTGAATTTCCTGCACGGTGTTGTTCCTACAGTCTAAAATCCTGTTTAATCTTTTCGATATCAGTGATAGAATCTAGTCATGCACTTATGACCTCCTTTATCAACGTTCGTTTTTATAGCTTTTTTTTGTCCTCGCTTCCTCAGTCTATTTATTTTCCATTTCAGTGCCTGTTTGGTAGTTCTTTGCTCGCTTCTTCTCATGTTGTTCTGTATAGCACAATGTTCATTAACGCTTTAAAAAACATGATCACACAAACGGAACAAATGTACCTGTCTGGTTTCTTCAGCCTGAACTGCGGTCCCAACATTTTGAGCCTGGATTCTGCCTGTACATACAAAACAAGTTACCATATCAACGGTTCATAAAGAAGTGCATAGTATAGATACAACATAGAGGTGTTATTTTAGCAGCACATATGAAATCTTCCCCTCATGGGATGCAGTGTTTTGTTATTTTGAAGCCCCACCTTGGCTTTTGCCGGGGGCCCTAAATATAGCCGGGTCTTAGAAATGGCCTAACGGCTGTACGGGGTCTCCTGGACCTCTCCACAGGTGATCCTCATCCGCTTGGTGGTACTTTGTGTCAACGGGTGTTCATCGCTCTGTGTGATGTCCTAGTGGGGTAAAAATTTACTTACTACACACTTACTTAGGTGTTATTTTAGCTGCAGTTAGATAAACAGAAAGGTGATAGTTCTTAGCTGAAGATAAATAACTAGGCACGGTGTCCGCCTCGAGTGATAGAGGTTCCGGGTTCAATCCCTGGTAACGGCTGTGATGTTTTCACGTGGATTTGGACTTTTAGTAATTCCCCCCTGTTCTCTGGGTAGTGAGATTGGGCGCTCGTGTGCATTGTGGCGCCCGTGTGCCATGTGTCGATCTGTTGTTTAAACCTCAAACCTAAATAAACAAATTAGTAAATATTTAGTGGCAGATACAAAGCAATAGTGTCATTTTCTGCTAATACAGATAGTGACAACCAAAGTCATTTTTAGCTGCCGATAAGGAACAACTCAAAGGTGTCTTTTTAGATACAGATAAGGACAAAATAAATGTGTCATTTTCGGCTGCTAATATATAAAACAGAAAGGTGTCATTTTTTTGGTGCAAATGTTTAGGACACGGTATATTTATAATTAAATATATTCTGATATTACAGAATTTGTCGTTGCAGGTAGTCTTATATTACAGATCTATTTTTTTTTCTAGTTTCAGTTATTATATTAGACTTTTGTAGATGCAGATATGTTGATATTACCGACTTTTTTTTCAGTAGATAATTTGGTATTCAAAGATTAGTATCTGTCATAGGCGACTTTCGTGTCTTAAAATATTGACATTGCTATTGTTGTTTTACGCAAATATTTTCAGCTTTTTTCTCCGCACCCTGGCTTTTGCCGGAGGCAAAATAGCCTCGCCATAAATTTGACCAAACGACTTAAAAGGGTTTCTGGGACCTCTCCCGGGGTGATCCTCATCCGCATGGTGGCACTTTGTGTCACTAGGTGTTTATCGCTTGTGTGATGTCCTGTTGGGTACAAAGAGGGAGATTCCGCCACCTACGAAAACCAGTATTTGTCACACATCAACACTGTTTTGGAGTGGTGAGCAACTAAACGCTTTCTTTGTTGATCAGAAAGTCGTGGGTCGGGTCCTGAGGCAGCCGGACAAATTTTTTTTTCTCCAGAAATGACTTGGGTTCACAAAACGACCCAGCCTTGAGGGGATCCTGCGAGGTAAAGACGGTCGGCGTGATGCAGACTCCATCACCCACCAAGTGCCAACTGATCTACAAAATGTAGGACCAAAACTACATGCCAAATACGTCTGAAGGCGTGGAAAAAAGGGTACTTCAATTTGCTTTACTTACTTTAGAATTATATTCTGTTGCGTTGACTGCATCTCTCCATCCATACTCCTGTAATGAATTAAATGTTCAGTTTATATAAACAAACATTTTTTAAAGTGCCGTCTTTACAATGTTAAGTTGGTGTCATGTATATATCCACTGTTGTCTTTGGGATTATTACAAGGGGAAGTCTATACTATAAGTAAGTCATAAATAGTTGCTTTTGAAAAAAAAAAACGATGACAACTTGAAAGCCGTTTATTTTTTGCACATACACTGTGCCTTTATTTTTTAACAATATTTCCACTAATTTTAAAAAATGACCTTGGCTCACACGTCGACCCAGCCTCAAATGTGTACCAGGTGCAGTCCTGGGAGGTAAGAGCGGCCGGCATGAGGTTGGCCATCACCCCCCCCCCCCCCCAGAGTGCATAGTGGTCTGTAAAATATAGGTCTAGCCTTATATGCCCAGTACATCTGAAGTTGTGGAAAGGGACCTTTATTTTAACTGACAGTGATGAACATTGTGTCCCGCCTGAACAAAGCTAGAGCTGCTTTTAGAAGGATGAAGCAAATCTGGAAATCCAACAGTTACTGCAGAGGAACGAAACTCCATCTCTGCAAGTGCATCATTTTGCCAGTTCCTTTTTATGGAGAAGAATGCTGGATAATGACCAAAAAGGATGCACACAAGCTATTCACCTTCCACCACACATGTCTACGTAGAATTATCAAACTTTTCTGGCCAGATACAATCTCAAACACTAAACTACTTCAAGTAACAAACCAAGAAACTCTAGACAGTATGATAACCAAGAAAAGTTGGAAATGGCATCATAGCCTTCAAACACTGACATCATAGCCCTCAAACACTGACATCATAGCCATCAAACACTGACATCAGAGCTCTCAAACACTGACGTCATAGCACTTAAACACTGACATCATAACACTCAAACACTGACATCATAGCACTCAAACACTGACATCATAGCACTCAAACACTGACATCATAGCACTCAAACACTGACATCATAGCACTCAAACACTGACATCATAACACTCAAACACTGACATCATAGCACTCAAATACTGGCATCATAGGCTTTAAACACTAACATCATAACCTTTAAACACTGACATCATAGTCTTCAAACACTGACATCATAGTCTTCAAACACTGACATCATAGCACTCAAACACTGACATCATAGCACTCAAACACTGACATCATAGCACTCAAACACTGACATCATAGCACTCAAACACTGACATCATAGCACTCAAACACTGACATCATAACACTCAAACACTGACATCATAGCACTCAAATACTGGCATCATAGGCTTTAAACACTGACATCATAACCTTTAAACACTGACATCATAGCACTCAAACACTGACATCATAGTCTTCAAACACTGACATCATAGCCATCAAACACTGACATCATAGCCTTCAAACACTGACATCATAGCACTCAAACACTGACATCATAGCACTCAAACACTAACATCATAGCTCTCAAATACTGACATCACAGCTCTGAAACACTGACATCATAGCACTCAAACACTGACATCATAGCTCTCAAACACTGACAGTATAGCACTCAAACACTGAATGCAGCATCTCAGATATTGAAGACTGCACTGAAGATTGCACAGGACAGGAAAGTCCTCTCGGGAGCCTCATGTGCCACTGGGCATAAAGAGAACTGATGATGATGATGATGATGATGATGACGATGATGATAATGATGATGATGATAATGATGATGATGGACATTGTGTGTGGTTTTCGTTGGCACAGCTATGTTGGATGACGTGACCCGTTTGGTATGAAGCTAGAACCTAATATAACCATCTCCTTGTATTCTATAAATCTAAACCAGAAAAAGATCAACACGAACCTGCTGGATGAAGTGGAAGAAGATCTGGTCCTCGCACACTTGAGGATGAGCCGCACATCTCACCAGAAACCGCTGTTCAGTAATCAATGACAATCCATGAACAGCCTAAAAATACTCAGTACACAATGTTGTTCTTCTTCTTCGTCTTCTTCACGTTGTCCAGCTGTAAACTCTGGTGGAAAATTCTGGCTGTTCATCTACTTTTGGACTGCAGTCCTGTTCCAGGACCCGAGTGGTTGCGTGTGCATCCGTTTTACAGATCTAACTCATTTGTATGATGGTTCCCTGCCTCTCAGGCAGATACACTCTGACTTTGAAGGATGCTCCCAATTATTCGACTCTTACGACATGGTTTTGGGTAGGCAGTGGGTCTGTTCTGGTTTTCCCTATAACAAGGCCCCGAAACCAACAAGGGGAACATAATGTTGTGATATGTTGTATCTTTACAGTCGCACACGTGCTCATACCACAGTCTAAATAAAAGCGACAGTCTTCTGCTAAATTACACAGAGCTCTATCGAACGTGGTATTAGGATTGTGAAACTTGTTTCGTAATCCCTAGGTGGCAAAGAAATTACCAGACCAAAAAGTACCTTGGTATGGAAACAAGATCAAATGACCAGGAAATCGACCAATAAATGGAAGACAAAGAGATTTAGTTTGAAGACAAACCACAGAGGTCTACAGTTTTGCTGCCTAAACTGCTGAGTCCAGTGCTTTGTGTGCTGTAGTTTTCATGTGAAATGCCTTTCATTTGTGCAGCGGTTGGGTCATGGTATTCAGTATGTGCGGTAGCTGGTTTGCGTGTAGCGAAATACCTTATGTAATAATTTTTTATGTGTATATCTAACTTACTGTGACTGACTACTTCCATCAACGACAATTGTATTTCTGGAGGTGACTGTAGGTTTTGGCGCCTTTAGCAACTGCCAAATGCATTTATTGCGTGTGCATATTTCTAGATTGTGCCGGAATTAATTGTTTGTTCACCAGTTTTTCAAGTGTAACAATGAGGGACATTTCATTTGATTTTTACTGGCTCGGGAACGGCGCAGGTGTTTGGAAACCCGATTGCGGTGAAGTTATAACCTCGATAAGATAAATACACAGAATATACAAAATTTATATTTTAAGAATACTGTTTCACAAAAGATCAACGCAGAAGTTTTGAAAGAGGCGAAATCTCGTAGACAACTTATCACATACATCTGAAGGAGGCAGTCATCATTCTGTGGTTATATTATGAGTAGAAGGAGAAGAAGACTGGGCATATTGTGAGCACTGGAAAGATTCTGGGAAAGGGGCGTGGGGGTTAGACAGATGGGGATATTCTTGCTCGCCCCTTGTAATGGCATAGTGGGGTGTGTGAGCACACGAACTGAAATATGCTGTTAATGATCACAGGTTGTGGAGAGGCATGATCGCCTACGCTAATATTTGACGATGATGATAATTATACCACAGCGAGTGTTGTATAGGAACTACAGCCAACTAGAGACTTTACGAAAAATCCTTAATTAGAATCCTGGGAATATTTTAGCCAAAGAAAAAATAAAGTGAAGCACTGAGAATAAATATGTGGGGCGCCGCGTTAGCGCAGTCGATAAAAGGCTCGCTTTCAAATCCAGCTGCGACTCGCTGCAGTCCACTGTCGGTGTTTGAAACCTGGCTGCTCCCGGGGTTCACCCAGCCTCTAGGAAATATTAACTAGAGTTGACACTCTGGGGTAAATGGAGGAACGTCACTGTAGCTACAGAGTTACGTGCGAACGGCGACACAGGCTTACAATTCTTATCAACTGTCCGTACTGGTGGCAGAGCACTTATGGTTTATAACCGTGTGCAATGACGCTGGTCACATCTCCCGACTTTACCTTTTTTTTTTACCTTTTTACTGAGAAGAAAAAAAGAGAATGTTCCTCAATGCCAAACGATAAGAAATAAAGAAGACACATATTATTTGGACACGTTTGTAGAATTGATGATGGCATTGGCAAGGACAGCTGCTCGATGGATGGCAGGGAGTGGACCAACCAAAGAAACTCTAAAATAGACAGTACAACAGGACATGGGATATCTTGGACAGAAAAGCAACAGCGCTGAAGCAGTGGGCATAATTATGAATTTCGTATGTGTCAACAGCCACATGAAGAAGATATGCATGTAGATAGACAAAAGCCTCAGACGCCGGCAGTTGGTAGGTATATAGGATAATTTCTATGAAAGGTGTTTGCCAGTAATAAAACCTCCAATCCAAAATATAGGATTGTTTCTATGAAAGGTGTTTGCCAGTAATAAAACATACCTCCAATCCACAATACTGGATAATTCCTATGAAAGCTGTTTGCCAGTAACAGAACATACCTCCAATCCACAACGTCTTCGCTCTATGAACCCCGGATGAAAGCGATCCACTGAAGTGTTCGTCCATGTATGTGTTGCCTGTGGACAATATCATTCAAACATCCATTTATTTTTCTACTAGTACAAATAGGGTGGTCACATTATCACGAGATTTATCACCATCATCATCAGCATCATCACCACCAGCAACATCTTCATTAATATGTTTTGCTTTCTTAATCGATCACTTCAGTTTCATATCAGAACTTTGGTCTTGACTGGATGTTAATTTAACCAGATTGTCTAAGTGTTTATCTTTATTTTCTTCTTTGGTCATCAAATCTGCCAGCTGTCGTTATATTAATAAGTATACTTCTCTTCTTCTCTTTCTCCTTCTGTGCCAGTGTTTTGGGAAATGAGCAGGCAGATAGACTTGCCGGCTCTGCACCACTTGCTGGTGAATTGATTTATGACAAGTTAGATATTGTGCCAGCATTTTGGGAACGAGTTAACAGTGCTGATGCGCAAATAGATCATTACGGTCTGAGGGGAACTGCGCTGCGAGAAGTTACCAGGGCATCTGGCTGACGCTCAACACTCAGGAGAAGGATGAGACGGATATACAATCAGACGGCAACTGGTGCCATCGAAATTGGAACTCTTCGCTTGCTGCTAAAGATGAGGACGTAGCGCTTATGGGAGTATCCCGACTGCTGTAATGTCGATCCTTAATTCAACATTCAACATTCTTCTTCTTTTTCTTTTGCACTACTGCTTATGCTTATACCACAAAGCGTCACAGAGAGGAGTTATA